CGCGAACTCCTTTCTTGCGGCCCGCTTCAGGGGTCATGTATACATCACACGTATAAATTACTCTCAAATACCGAATATGCACAATTCTTACATTAACTCTGTAATAATGTTGTATAGAAAGATTTTATAATACGGCCCTCCAAACTGCATTTTTTTTGAAGTGGCCCTTGGGCCACATTAAGTTGGACAGCCCTGCTTTAGATCAAACCCATCTAGATATATTGAATTGAGGGTCGTGGCTATGATATGATTTGTTTCCTTTGTACTGAGATAAATTCCTTAACTGTACGAATTATATTTGAAACAATAATATTACCTCATTTTAAGTCCTTGTGATCTCGAATCAAGGTCATAATTTCAAGAAAATATGTACTCCTGAGATCAATATTAAAAGATGACCTGTTCAAGCATTGTAGTGACTTAGGCGCAATACTTTGGAAAGGTAAAAACAGCAACCACTGGTAGTTATAATCACAAAAGATAATTTATCCAGTACATTTCAGTAAGTAGTTTGGAAGAACTTTATCCAAATGCTTACATAGCAAACAAAATCATGATTCACAGTTCCGGTCAGTACAGCTTCTATTGAGAGAAGCTTTTCAAAGCTAAAGTTGATTAATACCTGCTTGAGAACTACGATGAGCCAAGTGATACTATCTGCTCTATCAATTGTAACAATTGCAGTGGAAATAGTGGCTGCTGCTAGTTATCAATCTTGAAACGCATACCATATACTAATATAGTATGTTATAACTCAGCTCCTTCAAATGAACGTTTTTTACCCGGAAAAAAATGGACCTTACGAAGCTGATTTCGCCGACGTCCATATACTTGTATGCTCTACCCCAGTCACTGTTTTTACAGCAAATAATCTAGTATTACCTCAATAGTACATACATATCATTATTAATCTGCCCAGTATCATCTGCGCGTGAACATATGTGGTTTTTAGTGCATACAGTAGAACCCCGATTATCCGAAATAATGTTGGAGCCAAGTGCTTTCGGATAATCGAAATTTCGGATAAAACGGAAATAAATATTTAGACTCATAATGCTTGTATTGAAAAAAGTAAATGCGTGTGTTAGGTGAGTATATACCTATATAAAATTACGTAAAATATAAACATTTGGATACAGACATACATATTTACGAGTATTCAATAACAAAGGAAGTAATTTTTTCATTGTTTCTCAGAATGTGATATTTTGGCAGAGATTTCTGCCTCATTATCAATAGCATCACTTAAAACTGTCTCATCGCCATTGCTACAAACAGTTTTCATTAGTTCTTTATCAATTAATTCTTCCATCAATTCATCACCATTAATCCACTCACCAACATCTGCTTGGGTAAGATTTTCAGACCCTGCTATTTTTACAAGTAAATTTTCGTTGTTATTCTCATAGTCTGATTTTTGTAGAGTAGAATGTTTTACTTGGCTCCATGCATCTGTTATCCAATATGCCACATTCTTGAGGTTAATCTCTTTTAAACAATCAACGAGGTTACAACCATTATCAACTTGATCTAAAATTTGTTCTAATAACAAACGTCTGTAATTGCGTATTAAATTTTCTAATACTCCTTGATCCATTGGCTGAATCAGTGACGTTACATTAGGAGACAAAAGCATCACTCGTATTTCTCTACTTTTAAGTTGCTCCTCACTTGGGTGGCTCGTAGCATTGTCTAATAACAAAATACATTTTCTCGGATATCCATGTACCTTCAAATATAGTTCTGTCTTGTGAACAAAATGATTGTAAAACCAGTCCTCAAATAGAGCGGCGGCATCCATCCAGGCATTTTTTTTTTATTTTTATACCACACTGGAAGAGCGGTGGACGGACGTGCTGAAGTGCTCTTGACTTAGCTGATTTTCCGATTAACAACAAAGGAAGTTTGTGTGTACCGGAAGCATTGCTACAAGCAAGGATAGCGGCACGTTCTTTACTGCGTCTGTAACCAGCAGCTCCAGATTGTTGTTTTAAAGCTAAACTTTTCGCCGGTAACATTACTGGTTTAGACCCATTTCGTCGCAGTTGTAAATTTCTTCTGGATTTAAACCATACTGCTTCATTAATTCTTTAAAATGTTCTCCAAATTTTAATGCAGCGGACTTATCGGCAGAACTTTTCTTGGGGAATCACCGGCAGCGAATCTAATGACACAAACGCCGATTAAAACGTATGCGATCTGTTTGGGATGAAGCGGATTTCGGGTAATCGCGATTCAGATAATTGGGGTTCAACTGTATTGCCAACGCGACAGATTGCACGACCACCATCGCCAGGCAATATGGTGATGACCTTCGTTCTCCAGCCTCTCTTTCTAGCATGTGTTGTTACACACTTCTCGCGCTTCTCACTCGTATTCAAAGAACCCAAGCCATCAGACAAATTTGGTTTTCTCTGTATAGATTTCTCCCGTATACTCTCCACATGGTATGCGAAGACAGAAGTTATAAGGTTCGTAACGATTATCCATCTTGGTCGTATTGCAATAAATGAATATGCTAAAACCATTATTATATCACATGCACCGCGTCCAGAGCGTTTATTTTGCAGACACTTATTGTAAGGCTGGTATTTAACATTAAAAGGAGAGAATTATGTAAAGCAATATTTCAGCATAATAACTTGCTAACGCTTCCGAGCAGTGGCGGCTCGTGGCAAAATAAAACAGGTGCAAATCCGAACTTACCTATTTTTTATATGTCAGTTCGATCCTGCGCTGCTTCTTGGCAGCAAATTTGTCGATCACATTCCCGTTGAAATTTTCCATGGTCGAAATAAATTCCTTTTCAATGGACAGCATCGACAATGCTGTAAGGCGATCCTATGTCATAGTATTACGAAGAAAAGTCTTGATTCTTTTCAATGTTGAGAAATTTCACTCAGCCTCTGATGTTGACATAGGAGTTGTAACAATAATTTCTAATAGCTTTTTTTTTCTTTTAGTGTTTCCTCCAAACTATTTTGTATCAAAAATTTCAAAAGAGACAGAGTTCCATGTAAATCTCGGCAATCATTCCGTGCATAAATAACAGACAACTCTGTCTTTAAACGACTTTTTTGTAATTCGGGATAAGCCAAGCAGGTAGTTTCCAACTTGTCATCAGGAAACTTACCACAGTATTCACCAAAGTGTTCGGGGAGAATGCACTATATTGTCGCATACTTCTAATGCGGCAACTCGGTGATCGTGACTGCTATTATTACGTCGTCTCCTTTTGTTGCCTTGGGGTTCAGAGCAAATACTTTTGGCTTCATTTATTATGTCATCAATTTTATTTCTCACATCGACAATACATTTTTCAAAATTATCGATAACCGTTTTAACTTACGCTGGCTCGGTTTTTCTCTTCTGCAACTGGTTGAACAAGATGTCGACGTGAGGCATGACAAGATGAAAAAATGTCAACCAAAACACGAAAACAGAATCGTTTAACATACGGCGAATACCGCAAGCTGCCTTGCAAACGGTTTCATTAGTGAAATTTTCTTCTATTTCTTCCATGCATTCAATGAGTGATTCTCTGTTCTCAAACACTACATTTATTGTTCGAATATTAAAATTCCAAAGAGTTGTAGCTCCTTGGGGAAATTTTTTCACCACAATTCTGTTCAGTACCTCTACGCGTCGAGGAGAATTATTAAAAAATCCAGGAATATCTTTCAAATCCCCAAAGAACACCCAAACTTGATCATTTTCGGAAGCAGCTTGGGACATAATCAGGTTTAACTGATGCGCATAGCAATGCACATAGTGAGCAAATGGATATCTTTGTTTAATTTTTGCCTGTACTCCAGCATAAAAGTCCGCTCATTATCGCGGCTCCGTCATAGCTTTGTGAAATCAGTTTGTTAGGGAAATTTCCTATTAATGGATCTACGACGCTCAAAATATGCCTTGTGAGAGTATCCGCGTCACATTTTTCGGAATTCATATAATTCCAAAAACGTTTTACTGGTTCGCCGTTAGATACGTATCTGAAAATTGTTACCAGTTGGGTTTTCCCCGAAATGTCCGTTGTTTCATCTGCTATTATCGCCAAATACGAGGCTCTATTAATCTGTTTTATTATTTCTTCATGACAAACTTCAAGAATACAATCCAGTAGATCGTTTTGTATCTCTTTCGAAGTTCCTTTAAATATTGAAGCAGAAGCTCAGCAGAAAAGTTAATCAGTCCACGAAATATTTCAGGGTTTTGGGAGCTCTCGGTTTCGTCATGGCCCCGTAGCGCCAATTCAAATGCTCCGCAAAATTTTATACCGAGCATGACCGACCAATCAGATATCGTAACTTCGCATTAGATCTGTACCGATCTGTATAACATACAGCAAATGCATATGCTTAAATCGCGCATTTGATTTTGTAGAGAGAGACAAAAGCAAGCGCGTGCGGCTTGTGTCGAAGTAGTGCACAGACCCTTTTCACACAATTAATTGGTCGATTATACTGCTTTCTCAATACAAAACAGACTCGACGCTGTGTCTTGCGGGGGCAGCGTTGCCGGTATTGTTTCTATTTGGGTGATAACATGGAAAATAAATAATGATCAAATTACTACTGCTTTTTTCTGTTGACAGAAGTTTGAAAAGTTTTGGCAGTTCTGCAGCTCTGCAGAACTTATTATATTATATTATTATTATTATATTTATGAATGCGCCCTCTATACATTCAATCACAGGGGCCAGTTTTTGCAGAATAAGGACTTAAACACGAACTACAACACTAGAGCGAAACAGGACTTGAGTATACCTTCGCATACACTGTCACTGTTCGAAAAATCACCAGCCTACGCCTAAGGAATCTGTTAAGAGAAAGACTCAGTAGCTAAGTTTCTTTCAGGGTAAGAGTGATGCACCTCAAATTAAATAGGAAACTATGGCTATATATATAAATATGTCTGACGAGTCTTATATCATACCTATGATCCGAAGAAAACAAAGCATCTATCTATCTATCTATCAGTATCCTATGATCATAGATTCAGAAGAATAATTTTAATTCAAGCAATAAATCAATGTATCTTACCTTTATGACTTTCGCTGCTAGCATGGCGTTGCAATCCAGATTAGAGCCACCAATGATGACCTATAAGGAAGACGAACAGAATAATATTTCGAAATTAATCGTCGTAAAATTATCAAAACCCACACAAGAAGAATAACGTATTACTTGCAGACACTGTCTTCACTCTATCAATGACGATTTTCAACGCATCAAGATCAGTGGCCACTAGTTTGAAACCACTTTTTCTGCTACAAAATATGTTATTTTGTCTATAAACGGTCTCAAGTGGCCTTCTTAGATTGCGGTTCGGATCATCTCTAGACAAAATCGCACATTTTAGATAGAAAACTAAATTCGGGTAAGTTTCAAAGTAGTGCGCCATAATTTTTTCTGTATAGGATTGGAGGCCACCCCTGGCAAAGTGCTGCTTGTTGAAGTTAGCGTCTAAGTCTACTTGGACTATATTCTGACGGTATTAAGAAAAGTTTTCAACAAAAACGCATTTGAAGTTATGACTGTTATGTTTATCAATTGCGTATGCAGTTTCCCGAAGATGGCATGGCATTCCATTACGTAAAAGTAATAGACACCATTGTATAGCACTCTTAGAGAATCATACATGATAAAGGCAAGTCCTGAAGAAATTTGACCTCTTCAAACAGTTTTGATGGTCCAAAATGGCCAGAAAATATCGTAAAACATGCCAAGTTTGAAAACGTTTTGACTTCTTTGCGAAGTAGTAGGAAGCTTTGCCTACTATAATAACCCAATATCGTTACTCAAGTCTCACTAAAATCAAATGCAGCCATTTTTGAATTTATTATATTACAAAATTTTTAAGGGACAGACCGACGGAAATGACTTGGATGCCCATGACGCAAACATTATAAAGGAGCCAAATAAAGTTAATGGCAATCCAAAACAGCCATAAATAGTAACTTCCTTGCGTATACCCGTATTTATTAGAGGTTTATAACAAATCCGAACATTTTCGAGATTACATTTCTTCGCCCATAGTATAGAACAGGAGTTCCCAAGGGCGGGCATAGAGAGTTGTCAAGTTGAGCGGAAAGCGTTTGATTTTAGAAAGAAAAAACAAAAAACATTACAATGTAATGTTTAATTTACACGCATAAAATTAGAAATTAAATATATTCACTTATTCTGTCAACCGCTGTTTCAAAGCCCCGCGTCGTCAGTCGCAGTTTATACAAGCTTGGACAAGTGACAACATGAAATCCGTGCACACCCCCGCCGCGCTCCCCTTAACATTCATCGCTTAGAAAACAATTGTGAACCTACCAGATGCGGATGAGCGTCTGTGACGTTCATTCCCACAAACTTGCGAAAAATTTGACGTTTCTGTACATGTTTTGTTGAGAGATCTGTTTGAGTGTGTCAAATTATTGTGTCTCACTGTTAAAAGGTAAGTTTTTGTATTTACAAACTTCAGTTACCATTTTTATTTAATTTACTAAACTGTTGATTAAGTGGAGACGCGTTCATAGATCGGCCATTGGGACTTTTTTACCTCGTCACAATCAGACCAACGTGGCGAAATAATTTTGAAACGACGAACTTTAAGTACCTAATATTGATTCCCAATGTATACTAAGTGACATATAAATCCGAACACCCAGTTTAAATGGTTTTATTTTAATAAAAGTTGGTGAATGTATTTATCTTACTGAAAATAACAAGTGAAAAAATTTTCAGCCTTATCAGTTGGACATTCCGGTTTTTATACTGCTTTTTTTTAATTCACTAACGCTCTAAAAGTGGATATTTCAGCCGCAGTAAAGAATCAACGTTGGCGGATTTTGGTTCTTGACATCCTTTACGATCGGTTACGATGCCTAGAGTACGGAGACCTGTACGATTTCGTCAACTTAGTGAGTTTGATAGGGGCCGTATAGTGGGACTTCGGGAAGCTGGACTTTCTTTTCGGGCAATTGCAGTTAGAGTGCAAAGAAGTGTAGACACTGTGGTTAGGTGTTGTCAGGCATGGCTTCGAGAAGGCCGTATGCAAAGAGCAAGGGGCACTGGACGCCGCCGTAGAACAACAGACCGTGAAGATCGCCGCCTAAGATTATTGGCCTTAAGGGATCGCTTCTCCACTACCAGGTCCATTGCAAATGAATGGTTTGCAGAACACGGAAGACCTATTGGCATGCGAAGTGTTTAGCGACGAATGAGAAGTTTTGGCTTGTTTTCATACCGGCCACACTAGGTCCTCCCTTTAACTCGAGAACACCGACGTAATCGCCTTGAGTGGTGCAGACAACGGTCACTCTGGGATCAGGAATGGAACAGTATTGTCTTTAGTGACGAGTCTCGATTTTGTTTAGGCATGCACGATGGTCGTGCCAGGGTTAGAAGGCGACGTGGTGAAAGGAGGAATCCACAGTTTTTTGTTGAAAGACATGTTCATCACACTGTTGGAGTTATGGTTTGAGGTGCTATAGCTTGTGGTTCCAGGTCACCTTTAATCTTCATCAGAGGTAACATGAACGCGCAGCGTTATATCCACGAAGTTCTAGAACCCCATCTTTTACCCTATCTTGACACCCTGGCAGATCCAACTTTCCAACAAGATAATGCCCGACCACATGTTGCAAGAGTCACAATAGACTTCTTTCAACATAATGATGTCACATTGTTACCATGGCCACCAAGATCTCCCGACTTATCCCCAATTGAGCACGTGTGGGATATGATGGGTAGGAGATTGCTCAATTTGCAACGTCCTCCTCAGACTCTAGAAGCACTTCGAGAGGAGTTGGTGGTTGCCTGGAATGAGATACCACAGGAGGACATTGACCACCTGATCAGAAGCATGCCTATCCGCGTTGGAGAATGCGTAGCACATCAGGGTGCATCCACACATTATTAAAGGTCAAAGGGCTTTAAAGCAGTGCAATCATTTTGAAATTTTTATCATTTACTTATTATGCTTCATTAAGTACTTATACAAAATTTTATTAAAATAAAACCATTTAAACTGGGTGTTCGGATTTATATGTCACTTAGTATATCACTTTTTTCGCTGTCTGCTTCACCTGTATTGCCCCTAATAGCAAAGTGTATCAGCAGTAAAAATTTTAAAAAATATACAGGGCGTTCCAAAATTTATGGCGGGTCATTTCAGGCAGAAAAGCCATGTGTAAATGGCTTCCTATTAGCACCTTTCAATAACTTTGATATAAACAAAAAATATTGGTTTCGCCTTCAACTTAGTGAAGGTGGTATGTAGAGTCAGTCACTTAGTATATTTAAAACTACTATTATAACGTCAACCTGTCTACAAAAATATAAATCTCCCGGTGGCCAATATACTGTTGAATACATTACGTTATAAAGATAAAATAATGGGCATATAATTAGTAATTACATGTAGGTATTTTGCTTATTTATTTACTACTTATTTGTTTTATTGTTGTAGGTGCAAAATGGCAGCGAAAAAAAGAAAGTTTTCAGAAGATTACGTTAAGTTTGAATTTACCTTCATAGAGTAAGACGAGTTACAATTGCCTCAGTATGTGATATGTATGACAGTTTTAAGTAATCATAGCATGAGGCCCAATTGCCTTGACAGGCATTTGAAGCAACAAAATCCTACTGTGGTTTTGAAGACGAAGGAGTTTTTTTCTTCTAAAGCACAATCACTCAAGCGGACGACACTGGATAAATCGGGATGTTATCACTCAGGCGTATCGCAGCATCTCAAAGCTTCATTTGAAATAGCTTGTATGATAGCAAAGCAAAAGAAACCTCATATTATCGGTGAAGAATTAACAAAACCATGTGTCCTAAAAGCCACGTAGATAATTTTAGGAGAAGTTGCAGAGCAAATAATGAAGTGTATTTCTCGTTCGAATAACACAGTCAAGCGTAGAATCGATGACCTTGCAGCAGACAAAGTTAAAGTAAAATTATCGCTTTTTTGCCATTAGTTGCGATGAGTCCACCGACATCGTTAATTGTGCACAGTTAGTACTTTATGTTCGTTATATAGGCGGAGATATAATTCAAGAAGAGATTTTGTACTTCCAATCTTTGACAGCAGGTACTACATCTGAAGATATATTTTAATTCAATATCAAATTTTGTTGAATAAAATGATTTGGATTGGAAGAAGCTCATTGGACTTTGCACAGGTGGCGCACCTGCAATGATAGGTGTATGATCGGGCTTAGCTAAAAAGCTCAAGGAAAAAAATCCTGCAATGGTTAGTACACATTGTGTTATTCATCGGCAAGCTTTGGCTTCCAATAACATTGACACAGAAATTACGCCAGACTTTGGACTCAGCTATAAGGATTGTAAACTACATCAAGAGCAGCGCTTTGAACAGTCGGTTATTTACTTTACTTTGCGAGGATCTCGATTCTGATCACAAAGTTCTTCTGTACCATTCAGAAGTACGCTGGCTGTCCAAAGGCAACATGTTGGCTCGCCTTTATGAATTGAAAGAAGAGGTAATTCTTTTTCTTGAGATCAAAGAAAAACACGATTTCTTGACAATGTTCAAAGATGACACATTTCAATGGAGGTTAGCTTATTTAACTGACATATTTGACTCCTTAAATGAGCTAAATTTGAAACTTCAGGGCAAAAACAACACAAGAATAAGCAATTATGATTATATACAGGGGTTCGTATCAAAGCTTCAACTTTGGAATCAAAAAGTGTCTTCTGAAAATGTTATATCTTTTTCTCGGCTGTTCCAAGCAATTAAAAATAACATACTGGGCGCAAATTTAAAAGCTGACATAAAAACTTATTTGTAAGCCCTGGAAGGCGAATCTCGCCGATACTATCGAGACATCAATTCAGAGTCACCAATATGGCACATGACAAGAAATCCATTTGTTGTCAATGTGTCACAATTACCAGAAGAAGTTCAGGAAGAATTTCTAGAAATGAAGGCTGATTCATCCATGAAAGATGACTTCCATCTTTTAACATTGGACAAATTTTTGATCAAAAGATTGCCTGTTAATTCGACACTTGCCTCTCTTGCTTTACGAATACTAGTTGCTGTTTCTTCAACTTACTTATGTGAGACAGGCTTTTCTGCT